ATCCTCTGGTTCCCTGACTCCTCACAGACTTCTGATGAGGTTCATCTCTGAATCCAGAACATGTTAGCCCAGCTTAGCACAAAGACGGAGCCAACCAGTTTGAATATAGCAGAACCTTGATCATAAAATGCCCCTGCCTTTTTCAACCTCTGTTTCTGAGAAAAGCAAACATCATTGTCCTGTTGGAAAAATTCCCTGAGATCCCACTGATCCCAGAAGAAAGATGGAAAGGATGGCATATAGAGCCACAATAGTGTGTCAGTCACAGTCTCTCTCCTCCATCTTTGTGCCTTTGTGTGTGACAGTGTAACTCTGTCTGACAGTTTCTTTCTGGTTCATTTGTGCCTTGAAGACACTTTACTGCAAACGTGTTCCAGCAGCCTTCAGGAAGTCCTGCAGGTTTGACTGGACTAACCAAACTCTGACAGACTCACAGTAAACAGAGTCAAAGCACCCTCTAGCCTGAGGCCGCAACTGGCCCGCAGTACATTACTCACTGTACACTAAGTGGTGCAAAGTAACTGAGTACATTTACTCAGGTACTGTAATTAAGTCCAATTTCAGGTATTTGTACTGTTACTTGAGTATGTTCATGTACTGCTCCTTCACACTGCACTACATGTACCTGATAACTTCAGTTCCTTTCCAGAATGAGATGAATCAAACCAAACCCAGTAGAACGATCAGACTCTATTGATCCTGGTGGGAGATCCAGTACTTCACAGTATAAGTATACAAGGAAGTTATCATCAGCTCCACCTTCACCAGCTGCAGCATTAAAGTGATGAAGACAGAAACGCATCAGTCACTATGATCCAGTATCAAAGACATTACTGGGACACGGGCCGTTCTGCAGGATGAGTACTGGTACTGATGGTACTTCTAGAATAGTAGTAACATTAATATTAAGTATTCAGATGCATGCAAGTCTCACCCTTGACTACACAATGACCCCCACTTTTTAAAAATATAATTTCCTGGTAAATAGCTCCTTTACTAAAACAAATACAATAAAGAAAATGTAATTTGATCTCAGGTCTCTTCTGGAAAAAGATCTTGGTCTATATGTGAACTGTTCACACAATCATCTGATCCAGTTGTATTTGTGCAGCACCACTGGTACATGTCCATGTAATCCAAAGTGCTTTAATGACCAACAAAATACGACAGAAGAAGTGTAAACAGTAAAACCTACTGACAACTAATGCACAAGACAAAATTTGTAATAAACATAAAATCACAATATCAATGAAACAGACTGAAATAAGATTTTAAAAAATTAGTAAAAGACAATAACAACGCCTAATAAAAAGCAGTACCATGGGTTTAAAATTAAACCAAACTGGATAAATAAAAGATTGTTGTTCATTTTGCCAGATGTTGAGTGGATGCAGCAGTTTGGTAAAAACCTTTCAAAATGACCGTGTGGGTCTTTGGTGGAGGTTTGAGCAGCAGAAACAGATCAGATGATGCAAGAACAGGAAAGGTCTGTGTTTTGGGGTTTGGAGGAAATAAAAGGGGGAAGTGGGGGGTTTCTTGCCGAGTGTGAGTGAGAAGTAAACTCAGCTGGAGTCCCACAGAAACATGTGACTTCTCTCTGAGCTCCAAGTGGCTGCTGGGGGGCCACAGCTCATATTTTAATCAGGGGAAACCATATGGACCGCTCTCTCCTTGGTCCCAGTGGAAACCAGCTGGATTTCCTCAGCTGCCATTCTGCCAGAGTAAATACTTACACTCAATCCCAGTACACACTGGGCTGGTCCTGTTGGGACCAGTATGCTGCCAACTGCTCAACCCACTGACCCAGCTGCTGCTGGACCTCATCTGGTCCAAATCCAGACAGCTAAAATAGCTTAACAGTCCAGATAACTAAGATTTTCCATACAGTCTGATAAAAAATGGGACAGGACATACTTCCTCATCCACGACACTCTGCCCCCTACAGCTCTTTGAGCACTCTTACTTTTAATACTTTAAGTACATTTTCTGATTACATACTTTGATTTCAACAACATTTTGAATGCAGGAGTATTTTTACAGTGTGGTACAACTCCAAATTAAAACTGAAAATAGTGATGTGTAAATCATCTGTGTCCTGTATCACATTGAAAACAACACAGCAGCACGTTATTTGATGCGACACCTCATCAATTTGATTCTTGGTTCAAAATAAACACTCCCTTCCATCCTGATGCCACAAACATGTTACAAAACAAGTTGGGACAGTAAAGCGTTTACTACAGTGTGATGCTGCTGTTTTTTCACCACACTTAAAGACGTTTAGGGACTGAGGACACCAAGCAATCAAATGTGTCAGGTGTCATTTTGTCCAATTCCTCCTGCAAACAGGTCTTAAGGTGCACAACAGTCCTGGGTCTTTGTTGACTCAATCTGTGTTTCAAAATGTGCCACACATTTTCTACTGGGGACAGGTTGGGGACTGCAGGCAGGCTGGTCCAGCACTTGGCCCTTTTTCCTCCACAGCCAGGCCTTGGTTATGTGGCAGGATGAGGTTTGCATTGTCTTGTTGAAATATGCATGGGCGTCCCTAGAAAAGATGTCATCTCGAAGGCAGCATGTGTTGCTTTGACATCTTTCTGTATTGTTCAGCATTAGTGAAGCCTGGGTTGCCTCCAGTTCTCTGTCTGCATCGCTTACCTGTTTGTTCCTCATCGCAGAGTGAGTTGTTTCCAGACCAGTGTCAGTGTAGTTTACCTGCTTGTTCCTCGTCGCCAGCCTGAGCTACTACCTGCCTGCCTCGCTCCAGCACAGCTCTCCAGCTGCCACTGCAGTTCCACCTGCCAGCCCTGCCCAGGCATCTTGCTCCAGTGCTGCCTGTATCTGCGCTCAGACCACATCTCTCTCTCAGCACCAGCCTGCATTTTGAACCACAGTCAGGCACCAGCCCGACCGACCTTATCCTGCCTTGTCAGTCTGTGCAGCGTCCTGTTCTCCCAGCCTCCAGCTATCCTCCAGCTAGACCTGGTCTTTATTTGTTGCACCTGAAGAATAAATCTGGTGTCTAATCCTGAATCCGAGTCCTGCCTGTTGAGTCCATTTTTTCAAGTTGTGCAAGGCCACAACAAATCAGTTTCTGAATTTCAGCTAGAATTTGATTTTTGTTGCGGTTATTACATTATGAGTTGATACAAGCCTACAAGATTTTGTGCTCACCATTTTTGTTACGTTATTTGCTTTTATTATGTTAGAAAACATTATGAGCAGTTATTACATTGTGGGCCCTATTTTGAGGATTTACAGCATCTGATCAAGATGTATCGGTGCAAGTGGTGTTTGGGTGCATTTTGCAATTATCCAGTGAGTGTGCAACTTCACATCCCTTTTAAAAGAAGTGGGAGTTTGAATATTTGAGTGCTAGCATACTCCCAAGGTCAGACATTTTGCACTGAGGAAACACAGATGTTTGTTTAGATATCAGCATAAGAGCACCACTGGTCAACTAATTAGCCAGTTTAGTTTCTTGTTATGGTCATAAGCTAATTTTCTAAATGTGATTACTAATCAAAATGGTATTTATTATAAATACATATACAGTATGCTGATGTGCACAACACTCAATGAACACAGTCATCTTTTTATTTTTTAAGTTTTGCATGTCCTGCACAGCATCCGAGGGTATGATGAGCACTGTGCATATTGCACACTCCGACCTCTGACTGTGCGAGCGCTGTCAGAATAGTCATATCAGAATCCATGTGGTCATTTTAACGTCTCCTCCTCTGCACATACAGCCTGTTGTCATCATTTGGCATTGGTCCCTCCCAGACCGGTAACAATAAACACGGAGGAGAGCGACAACAGTGATGGGGTCAGTGGAGAGACCAGGATGTTTCACACGTGGTGGATGTTTATGGAGAAGCTTCTGATCAGGCCAAACTGGGAGGAACATATCGTAACACAGCGGTTTGGGAGGAAACTGGGCCATTTGGCAATCTCACACACACAACGCAGTTGTTATTCTTGTGTGGTGTTTTAGGAGCTCAGCGGTGTTCACACTGGAGCCAGGTGTACGGCACTGACACACACGGATGGGAAGCAGCAACACAGCAGGGTCAGACCTGAGTGAAGCATCAGGACTGAGCCTGTGGTGGGGACATAGCCTAAAACACCAGGAAATACTGAGAGAGCAAAAAGAACAGGCAGGAAAACCAGACCTGTACAGTCACTATGGTCTACATAGTGGGAGAACTGATGGGGAGACAGGAAGAGATGTGCGAGTGAGTGGGGAAGGTCAGGTGACTGGGAATGGTAGAAAAGTCTGAGGACATCCGGTGGCTGGGCAGAGGATGGCAGCACACAGAGGCCAAAATGCACAGGACTGAGACAGGAACCAAAGGGACATGACGCAAGTCACAGCTGGATCTACTCTTCATGTCAGCTGCAGTCTTTCAGTTCTCTATGGTTGAGGTGGATGACCGGTTCAGGAGCTGACACTCAAAGAATATCTACTGATACAGAAGCACGGTTGTTCTAAGGGAGAATGGACAAGCTGTTCGAGTTGATAGTCTGCTGCAGAACAGAGTAAATACAAGGACCTGGGGCCCCTGGGAAGCTGCAAAACCAAATCAAGCCCCTGAATTGCCACCAGCAGCATGAACAACAGAGGTGCCAAGTCTGAAAAAGTCAACTTTATTTCTATGAAAGAATGAACTAAGTGAATATTTACATCATGTTTTTGTTCTTTGACTTTTTTATACAAAGTTCACAGACTGAGTGATGATACAAGAAGAGGGACGATAAATACCACCATTCAAAATGAAAACACAAAGTGGGCTGAAAAACGTCTGTGGAGAGACACTTGAAAATGTGCTGCGATGTGTTGCCACAGTAAACAGATCTGTGCAGTGTGTGCATTTGTATCAAAGTTGAGGTTGGAATTTCACTGGATTCATCAGAGTTAGGGTCACTGCACAGCTAATCCTACAAACACAACACAGGACGAGGAGACACTAAAATATCCTGACTGAAAATAAACTCAGTGTTTCTAAGGAAAAACATCCCACTGGTCACTGTGGTTGTTTTTTGATAGAAACAAAAAAACTAGGTTTCATTTTATAAATGTTTTGCTTTAAAAGACCAAAACATCTGTTTATTATGTGAAGGCAGCGTTTTTGATGACCGGAGGCATCCGTATAATCAGGGACACACAACGGTGTGTTCAAAATAAAAGCACAGGCCTTCAAAGCAAAAAGCAACTTTAAAACACACTGTGCTTTTATTTGGTTTTGACACCTGAGAAGTGAGAGTTCAGACTAGATTAAATAATAAGAGCAAAACACACATATGTGGTATTTTTCACCGCTAGTCAACCATTACTTATTAAATGTAAGTGATGCATACTGTGGGAGTGACACACTGAAACTATCTACATGCATCAACAGGGTCACAAGTTTGGAACCATTCTACACTTGTGCTTTTATTGTGACGGTTAGATGCCCAAACAGGGAGTACATATATTTGTGTTTGAGCAGAAAAATATAAGAATATATTTTGGTTTTGTGAGTATAAAACACAGAAGAACACGTCAAACTGAGTGTGCGTTTTTGTTCTGAAATGATCCCATCTCATTCTGCTTCCTGCCATCGCTGTGACGCAGAAAACAAACACATAGGTTCCGAAAGTGTAAATATATTCTTTAAATATTCTCAGAAGAAGCTGTTGTTGTCTAAATGAGAAATATACTTGTGGTGTAAAAATACATGTACAGTATATGGGCTGATGAACAGAGGCGTCACTACAGCAGCTTATTTCACTGAGCGTGCTCATTTTCCGACTCCCGACAGACCAAACGGGTGTAGTTCTCGACAAAGAATCAGGGCCCATTTGACATGGACCAGACAATGAACCTGTCTTTAGTTTAGGAGGATGTCTTCAACCATCTAATTAGGCAGAAAGTCACCAGTCACCAGTCACCAGTATTCCCGATCGGTGACTGAACTTCATGTTTTGCTTGGTTTGAAACCAGGGCTGGTCCTGATGCAGAGACATCCTCGGACAGCACCCGTCAGAAACGCTGCCACGCTTGTCCTCACTGATCCCAGCTGGATTCACGGGAAAACATTACATCCGTGAAGCAGCCGCTCACATCGGTGCAGTGCTGGGAACTACATGTAGTAGTTTGACTACATTTGTCAGTAGCTTGCTGGCAGTTCACCTGAAACTACAAACAGTTTAGGGTCATAAAAGGAAAGGACTGATGTTTTACTTTTATTTCACTATGCCGTGTGTGAGCGGCTTCATATTCTCAGAGCCAAACGGAGATGCCTGTTGGAGCAGAACTTTGGGAGACAGCTACAGTATGTGTCGCATAAACTAGAGGTTCTGCTCTGACCAGTACAAAGGTAGGCCTGTTATTTAGACCAGTGTTCAAGCTGTCTAAACAGAAGCAAGCTGCAGACTGCTGTAGATGTTAACAGAGTCGGACGGTACAAAACTGACCAGTGAGACAACATTTTATAGACCAGTGCTTAGGTCGGTCAAACGGCCTGAGAAGGTGTACGTTGAATATTTTTCTTTACTCTTCTACGTGTAGTCAGATAATACAAACTCCACATTTGTTTACAACTACAATATACTGGTGAAAAACTCAGAAGGGATTGTTTCCTTTAGATCTCAAGAAATTAACTTCCCTGCCGCTATGTGACTTTTTTATATTATAATTTTGTATTACTTGTACATTGTCAATTTCATAATTTTTATACAAAGTAGATTAAACTGCCTTTTCTAAGTAGCTTTACTTAACCAGACTCAATCTCTCCTTACAGTAGATTTGCTGCAGCTCAATTGGTAGCTTGTAAAGCTACACTATCAGAGTAGCTTCCCCGACACTGCATCGACGTCCGCCGTCGTACAATAAACCTTGGGATGGAAGTCTGACTGTTTGATAGAAGCACTGGCATTGGTAACTGGGTGAACGTCTCACAGTTTAACATTCATGGTTGGCTTCACACCATCTCAGGGATCCAGCGGAGTCAGGCCAATTGTATGCACACAGTTGGCTGTGAGCTGTCTCCGGCCCAGACATTCCCACCAGATTTGGTTCACTGTGTGCATGTGAAACGTGGCTGAAAGTAAGTTCCAAGCAGCAGCAGCTGGGTCGGGCCTGAGACGGAGCCGGGCTCTACTGGCTAGCTGGGGTGTGATGTTGGCAGGCTGATGACATGGCTGTCTCCTGACAACACTGAAGATGACAGCTGTAACAGGCCCACAGCGAGGCTGAGTGCGTCCACCCTGGCAAACAAGTGCACGGATGTTTGTATCTGTTTTTAAGTAATCTTGGAGTCAGTATTTAAACAAGCTGCTGTAGTGCTGGATTCTCTCTGTGACCTTTTGTGAGATGAAGGCACGTGCAGTGAGTGTGGCTCAGTACAGTGTAGCTGATCTCTCTGACTGTGACGATTTCACTGATTGACCCATGGCTGCACATAGAAAAGGACAAGTTACAGCTCTATGAGTGTGTTACAGAAGTGGTCCTCTATCGCTGCTTTTGATACCATCAGGATGTGTCTACTGTGTCATAGCTACATGAGTTTTTCCCCGTTGTTGTTGTTATTGTTGTTGTGGAGGCTGAGGTTCAGGTTGAAGCCCGATTGCTTCCTCAGGGCGTAAGGTGTCAGCTTCTTCTTCATAAACATTTTCTGGAGGAAGCGGTTGCTGACACTGAAGGGGCAGTAGGTCTGGATGAAGTACATGAGGCCGACACCAGGCCCCGCAAAGTAACGTGCCTGCGGCTGTGGCGCCAGCAGCGCATGGATGATGGCGTCCACAACAGGGCTGAGGTCAGGGTTGGCCTGGCTGGCATGGCTATGGAAGAGGTCCTTGGTCTCGGTCACATAGTCCTCACCGTAGTCTTCGAGCAGCGCCGGAGACAGATTCTGCAGCAGCTGTTTGTGCTGCTGCTCCCAGTACGCATAGTTACTGGGATGACCTGTAGAGAGCAGAGACCAATGTTACTACCACAACAAGACCTGCAAACATCAAGAAGAGCAACTGTGGTTGTTCCAGTGTCACTGGTGTTGACAAGAGAAAACCAAATAATCAGATAAATCCATTGAGGCTTGAAGATAATGCTCATAAAAACTAAACTTACTGCAGCAAACTGAAACTGGAAACTACAGTAGTTTGGAATAAAATCATTTGATTACTTGTGACACTGGTGAAACTCTTGTGAAAGCATGAAAACCAAGCACAACTTACAGCTGCAACAGTGGTTAAAAAGATTGTTGTGTGCTGGAGGGAGCCCCCTCATTCCATTTCCAAAGAGAACTGGGCCAAAGTGTAAATCTGCAGTGGTACTACCTCAGACAACCAGTGTGATTCAGTGTTTCTTCCACACAGTAGGAAAAAACCTACATCTCCCATAAAGCACCTGGATAGTGCTCCAGAGCCATGTGTTTGCAGTTTGTGAGGTAGACTGTGCCAGAAAAGTATTTTAGTTTTAACACTGCAGCAGCGAACAGGCCGTTCCAAGGAAACTAACTGAATTACAGGAGCAGTAGTTGGAACATATTTATTGTGAAGTGCAGAACTTAGCTGCAGGCAGTTGTCACTCTTCAGTGTCAGGGCTGTGAGCAGACAGTTTAACGGCTGAACATGGTGTCAGCACAAAGTCTGCGTAAAGCTCATCAAGTCAGCAGAGTAGCAGTAGGATTAGGATGTTAAATACAAACCAGCATTTTCAGGATTAAAGTGTGAACAGCAGGATAAAGTGTGTCACACTCACTGTTTACATCACTGCTACTGTACATCCAGTGAGTTATCACATGATGGGAACTGAATGACGGGAACTGGACTCTACACACATGAAAGCTGGGGTTGTTTTAGTTATTGCCATTTTGGAACCTTTTTATTTTCTATTTGTTGCCTTTGTATTGTAACTTGATCTTTTCTGCCTTTAGACTTTCATGTATTTCACTCAGTTCCTGCTCTTTTTATTTGACTTGTCTTACTGATCAGCCTCTGACACACTTCTTTGGTTTTACTGCTGTTGTTTTTGCATGGACTTTAGGAAAGGTAGAGCCACATTTGTGGAAATGGATAGGCAAGGGTTAGGTGTTAGACTTTCATTTTTAATCCACTTTCCTTTTTCTTGTTCACACATTCTTTTTCTTCTCTTGTTGTCTCAGTTTTAGCTTGTTTCCTCATTGCCCTATGGAAGAACACTGTACATGCACATCGAGAGCCAGTGTACCACAGTTAAATTCCTCACGTGGCCAATATAACTGATTCTGACTGGTATCCAAATAAAGAATAAAGTAGGTGCAGTAGGTGTGGACCAGTTTCAGGGCTGGATCTGACACTGCTTTAGTTTTTCACATCAAACATCAAGGTACTTCAACGACTGTATCTGTATGATGTGTCACAAATCATTTGAACATGCTTTTACACTCATGACACAACAGTCAGCTACAATCTAATATGTCCTGTCTGTTCCCCAGAATAATGTCTTTCAGCCATAGCTGTCAGACTGTGACTGACTGTCAGAACTGCTCAGAGGACAAGTACTAGTGCAGCTGGACAACACACTTAAAAAAGCATTTTGATACTGGTTATCATAGGGCGGCTGTGGCTCAGGAGCTAGAGAGGTCAGCAGTTCGATTCCCGTTCTCTCCAGTCTATATGTCAAAGTGCCCATAGCCAAGGCACTGATCGCCAAGCTGCCCCCGATGGCCAAAGCAGCACCGTCATTAGTGTGTATGTGGTGGTGCCGCAGATGGCTGCCTCGGTTCTGTACCGGGGACAAATTCCTTGTGTGTGTAACATACTTGGCCAATAAATGTGATTATTGTGATTTTCATTTAGTTAAATCAAGATCAAGTAAATAAGGAAAAAATAAGCAGCTTTATTTATTTCCCAGCTACACTTTGCTATCTTCATCTTTACACAGATGATACCATGCTTCATGCCAATGGTCTTCTCTGTCTGTGATGACTTCCAGAGAGACAAAGCATTCGTCACAGGAGCTTTGACATTCCTACTCTGATCCCTGCTCTTTAAGAACACATAGCAGATACAGCCAAGAGTGCTTGGTTTTTAAATCATAAAATCTGATGCTTGAGGAGAGAACATGTTACGTGCATCTTTACCACAAAGAGCCCCATACCTTCTTAATCTCACTGACACCCTGTTCTAGTGCAAATAGGACCTAAGTATGTTTTTTTTACCCAAAATAATGCAGAGGGCAGGAGTTTTTATCTCAGTAGTGTCTTCTCATTTTCCCTCCTCTCAGGCGGCACACAGTCACAACAACCTCCAGCTACAGGGTAAAGCAAACTGTCTGTAGTCTGTATGGAAAGACACACAGTAAACATGATGTGTCATTTGTTGACTGAATGAGACGCAGGGGATGGATCATAGTAGTCAGAGGTTTTAGTGAGGACACCAACCTGAAATATGAAAACCAGTGGAAAAGATCCCTTGAATCCAGTTGTATAACTACTGAGGACTTGGTTTGATAGAAGATTGTACTACACACACCAACATGGAGTCCTGTCACTTCAAGATTTAACACAGACAGACAATGACTGTCGTATATATACACTATGACACACTGCTCACAAGTGATATTGCCCACCCCAACCGGTCGAGGCAGAAGGCTGCCCATCAAGAGCCGGGGTCTGTTGGAGGTTTCTTCCGTTAAAGGGAGTTTTTCCTCTCCGCTGTTACCAACTGCTGCTCAATGGGGATTGTTGGGTTTTTTCCTTAACAATAATAATAATAATACTAACTATAATAATAATAACAATGATAGCAGTGATAGTAAGGTCTAGACCTTTCTATGTAAAACGCCCTGAGATGATTTTTTGTTGTGATTTGGCGCTGTACAATAAAACTAAATTAACCTAAATTGAATTGAACAGTATAGTATAAAGCAGTGCTGCTTACACATTAATGCACTTTCACTCTGCACTGCGAGTACAATTTAGATTAAGGGACTAATGGTGTATTTTAGTGTGGTACTGGTGCTGGCTGTGACCTTGATGTCTGTTTTTATCTCAGCATGATGAACTAGTTAAGCAGTGCTTTGGGTAACAGTTTGATTAAATTTGGACTTCTCCACAAGCATGGCGAACACAGCACCAGCAGCACAGAGTGAACTACCGAGACATGAAGCTGATAATAAGAAGTGCAGAGAAGCAACAGGCCAAAGTTAAATTCGGGGTGTGTGGAAACTAAAGTTCATCCCACATGTGGTCCGGATTACCAGAGTATATCCTCAGCAGGAGGCCTGTCATCATGTTCAACATGGGGCCAAAGCACAGTAGACAAGCCTGGAGGAAATCGCAGCCCAAGCACGATGAGTGCAGTTTGCTCCTGACAGATGGGATCAGTCGTGCTGCTGTCTCACAGTACCTGATGCCTTCTTCCCAGTCTGCCACTCTCTCTACTAATCTTAAACTCTACTGATGTTTTATATTTGAATCAACACCAGGTTTTGAACACAGTGAGGGTGATCAAGACTTTTTTCTGCAGCCATCAAAAGAAACAACAGCTCCAGTAAACAGGGATGAAGGTGCTGATGTTCTACAGCAGTGACAACTGAGACAAAATTGGTCACAGTGCGAGCACACCTGCTTCCTGTCACTGTGTCATTTCTGTCTGAATCTTAAATTCCCAGTTGGTGCGTGTCAGCCAGAGGCACCTCAATGAACTGCCCATTTATGTCAAATGAAATGGTCTTCTGCACATATGTGTGGTTCTTGCTCTGTTTACTCTGCTAGCGTCTCACGCTGCACATAATAATGTCAATTTTGAATTCCTTCAGACTTTCTGCACAGCGACGCTGTTGTTAGCCTGTGGAGCTGGTTGTTGGAAACAGACGGCCTCCCATGTTTCCTGAGGAGGAAACCTGCCCCCCAGTGCAGCGGTGTGGCTCACTGGGTGGGTTTAATGTGGACAACAGTGGAGGTGGTCTATGACACAGAGCGATAAGCTGGACCAGGGTCTGGACTCAGACACATTACGGTGAGGACACCACGTTCACTGGTGCTGCTGGTCTCTGGACGGGGTTTGTGGGGACTAAAAAACACTGTCTCAGGCTCAAGTTTCTCCCTTCTTCTCAGGTTCACAGGTGCCAAGCAGGGGGTGCAGTTACCTGTCTTGAACGCAGATGGCAGGATGATTGAAACTTGCACACCCCAGGGCTCGAGCTCGTGCCGCAGAGTGTTGATGAAGAGGTTGAGAGCTGCTTTAGATGCGCCGTACGCTGCCAGACAGGGAAACGGGTGGTCACCTGAAAGCACAAGTACAACATCATCATGACGTCACTCACAGAGTGACCACTCACCTCAGTCATGGCTGAGAGTGGAGTAATCATACAACAGAAACTAAATATGGAGTTAATATGTGTGGGTAAATTGTGCACCACATAACTGTGAATCAGTTGTGAACCAACAACAGTGCTTCTCTCTCTGGGGGTACGCAGTGGGTGTGAGCCACCATTAACTATGACTCTGGTGTTAATATACGTGATTTGGTGGGCAGCAGAAGTGTGTGTGTGACATCACAATGCTGACAGCAGTCACACTGTCCCCACTGCCAGTAGCAGATGAGTAGCGAACAGCATCCCCATGGACATACACTATCAAAGGAATTTTTTAAATGAAGCAACAAAATCACTGGAATCTTTGTAAATAATTAGTTTACTTGCAGCAAGGAGACAAGTCAGCATGAGCATACAGAGTTGTCTGAGTGAGGTAGATACATACAACATAATATATAGTAAACAGGCACACCCTGATAACACGACTTAGACGCTAATCATTCTGGGACACATGCTTATCCTACAGTTGTATCTCGCTTCGTCTGGAACAGTCTGCAGTCGAGTATATCACAGCACACAGAGTTTCACATGAAAGATAGAAAACGTCCTTCAGGCCTATACACAGTCAGTTTCTCACATGACATTGTTCTGAAAGTTTAAAACACATTAAATAGTAAAAATCATGTCTGATAACAGAATTTTTATAACATACACACAGCTATCACTGGATCACTGTGAGACTGAAGGAAACTTAAACACAGGGGGACTCTGAGGCAGGTTCTGTAGCCTCTTTTCCTGTAGTTTCTACATGGATCTATGGAGGTTTGTTTTGGAGGGACATCAGAGATGATGAGCTCCTCAGGAAGTTAGGACTCTGAGAAGACGAGGATTAGTTTGGACTGAGGTGACAAGGCAGGGCTGGACTCACTACAAGGTGACTGTCTAACCACCTGCTGTCCCTTTAACATAACTATATTTATTATTTATATATATTTATTTATGTCATAGTTACTGTAGTATTACTTACCATATCGTAGCTCCACATCCTCTACCTTTGACCACACAACATTTACACTGCATACACACATCTGCAACTCTATCAGGCAGATGACCATGAAATCTGCTGAGCACATGAATCCTGTGATTGATTTAGTCAGACGACGGAGCTGAGCTGCACAACCAGATGAGCAGCAGCAGCTCTGTTTGCTTTGGCGTTTCAAAGGATGCAGTCAGGTCAATGAGGATGATTATAGCATCAGAGTGAGTGTTAGTGTGTGTGCTGGATACACACCAGCAGGGCTGGAGATGGTGACGATCCGTCCTTTGGCCTGACGCAGCAGTGGCAGGAAGCACTTGGTGACGCTCAGTGTGCCAAAGAAGTTGACCTCCATGCAGCCGCGGAAGTTGGACATCAGCGACAGCTCGGCATCTCCGATGTTCACACATCGTCCAGCATTGTTTACCAAACCCCACAAACCTGCCAGACACACACAGCAAGGCTTAGAGACAGTGTTTATTCAGCAGTCCTTGACCTCAGAGTCTGAAAATAAAGTCGTTTCCCCTGGAGGCCAGTGCACTGATGACTGACACTGTGATGTCATGCTGACCAGACGGTGTGCGGCTTGATAAGGTTCCTGTCTACATAAAGACAATATTTATGTGCTTCATCAGGTAATAATCCAATCCAGTAGAAATGGGGTAGACACAATAATAAAAACCCCTGTCAACAGCCTATAAATGATTCCAGTTATGGGGGTATTACCTGCTCTCATCCTGTTTTTACTTAGGCCCATGTGAACACAGTATAAACTGAAATCAAATCTTGGAACTCACAGCCACAAACTAATCAAACGGGACCTGTCATAGCTGATACTGTTGTTTAATCATGCAAAGTCTTACACAAGTATGAAGTCATTTAAATTACGAACAATCAACAAATAGTGAACCTGGTCTTGGGAGTCTTGGGGGGTCGGCTCCTGGGCAGTAGTCCTACCAAAAAGTATATACAAATATGAAGCAGGTACATTAACCAACTGCAACATGAAATCCTGCTCTCTTGTTAACACAGTAGTGAAAATAATAAATACATGTTCCTGATCATACAGTACCTGTGTACTTTTAATTGTAATGGAGTGTATTTACAATGTGATATCACTACATTTACTCCTGTGAATACTGCCTGTACTACTGTAATGACACAGTTCTACTTCTTGGACTGAGCAATCACTGTGCGGTGTGTGACACTGACTCAGAGCGAAACCACAATCACGACTCAACACATCACTACACTCTGAACTGAGTCTCTCGCTCCCTCTATTGTTCTGCCAGTGTAAACAAACCTCGCTCACCCCAGGAGTCCACTGTTTGTTCTACAAGCCACTGTGGGAACTCTGTGTAGGTCTGAGCTGACTCAGAGCTGATGACAGGTAATGAGTAAAAGAACATCCAAGCTGGCAGACAGCCAAACACCTGAGTGACCCGCCCAGGTGACTTCCTGCCTGCAGTCTCTACAGGGCCGTTCCAGCTCCCACACACACACTGTTTCCATCAACATACACTTATTTCTGTGGACCTATTTCCACACCAGAGATAATGATCAGTAGGGATGTTCCCATCGACTTTTTGGTCCTTTGATATTGATATTACCTGCTCCCTTCACTGCAGCTGATCTGATATTACATTATTGATCTAAATGAAAGATGAAACAACAGCTGTAGACACTAAATCTAAATCTGACAACTTATTTTTCAGGAGCTACTTGATCAGAAGGTCCTAATTCAGAACTACAGAGGTGATCAGTTGACATTATTGATCAGATATAGGGATGGTTGTGAGAGCCAATTCCAATAGATTCAGTTCTAAGTTGGTGAAATACTGGGACGCTTTTAACCCCACAGCCAACGAACCCTTTACCATATCTTTCTTTCATATTCCCACTTCACCCTCTCTCTGACTCTACAGACATCAGTAAACAACAAAACACTGATGATGTAAACAAACGGGTGGCATCAACAAACATAGTAGATGTCAGTCAAACAACTACAACATGTGACATTTGCGGAGGAGGAACAAGTCCTGCAGCGTCCAACATGCTACAGTCAGCCCTGGCGTTCCTGTTGATAATGTGAGAAAGACGAGCGCTTGGCCTCAGTCTACTCAGCCTACTCAGCCTGCCACCACTGTTACACCGCGCTCTGTAAGCGTTAGACTCTGGGACCTACAGCAGAGCAACAAACAGTTCAGCTGCAGCTGATGCTCAGGGCATCGTGCAGCAGACCAGCTGAGGTTTACTGAGCTGATACTGACTGAGTGACACAGCAGAGTGAATCCTACTGTGACATGCAGCTGCAGCTCAGCCCCCAGTGAGGAGCAGAGTGAGGGAGGACAAGGTCAATGAGTCTTCAGCTCAGCTCAGTGTCCATGGTGTGTCTGCAGCGCCAGGCTGCTCACTGCTGCTTTCAAAATGATCAGCTGTGTTATTAATGTGGTCAGAAGAGTATAGTTCATTGTTACAAAACAGCTGAAAATAGTTTTGCTGCTTCGCTGAGTGAAACAACTTCTTTCCAACAAACAAATATTGTCATTCCCCACCAAACAAATGACTGGAACAGATTTGCTTAGAGGACTCTGAACTGGATCTTACTGAACCCCAGCTTTAGATTAACTGGAGAATGTGGGAAAGTGATGTGAGACCAGCTCAGAATCTCTCAGTCCTTCTGTGAACCCATGTGGCCTCTGGGTACTGTGGGTCTTTTAGCAGTCCCAGAGTCTAGGAGCGATACTGCTGGATCAGTGTGACAGGATCTGAGAGCAGCTCTCTAATCCAGCTGCACAGGACAATGTAATGGCCATTATTTATGTTATTGTATTTTTTTATTGATTTCATGTTTTCAAATGTTTAATTTACTCCAATATATTATTTGGCTTTGTCTTTTATCTATTTCAACTAGTTTTTATTCATTATAATCACATGTATTGTTTTATTGGTTTATTGTTATTGGTTTTATTATATTTTTATTACACTTGATCTTTTTTAATTAGTTATGTCATTGTGTGACTTAGTCTCATTCCATTTTCAGCTTTTGTTTTAACTGTTCATGTGTTCTGTCTTACAGGTAAGTCACCTGTGAAGCACTTTGAACCGGATGAACCTGAGTAAAAGGTGCTGTACAAATAAAGTCTGATGCACTGAACCTGGGACCCATTAGTCCATGGTGCTACTGGTGGTCCAGAAAACCTCAGGGCCCATTAACTGGCCTGGACTACAGTCTTGAAGCCCAGGAGACACAGGAGTGATGTGACATGTCAGCAGCTGTAACATCTGCTGTCAAACACCTGGCCGCACAAGGATTCAGATCCACCAATCACAGCCTGCCACTGGGAACACACACACACACACACACACTTATGTAAGCCCATAAAACCACACACAGAACTTCAGACAGAGTACATGGGAGTGTGTTTTAGTGACCTTTCTGCCAGTTCTTTTATTACATCCACCGCCCACACACTCTGTATCCTTACATGACTCGGGGTAAAGCCATTGGTCTGAGCTGTCTAATTACAAAGCCAGTTGGAGCTGCAGGCGTGAGCCAATCACAGGGGGACCCCAGTGACTCTGTGTGCAACATGAGACGCCACCTTTTCACCACTTCAGCGCTAAGCCCCCTCAGATACCGCTCTACTCTTTAATCAGTTCTAGCTGCTCACAGCTGTTTGTTGTTAAAGCACCTTTCCCAGCTCCTCTGCTGCTTCTGCAGGGCTGTGTTTTTCCTCGACGGCTGCTGGATGAACTCTGCCACACATTCCTCTGCTGCTCTAACATACTCACTCTCCCTCCTCTCCATAGTGAACCCTCATACTTTGCAGAATCAGCAGAAGCATACAACATTTAAAGGAACAGTCCAAAATTTAGGTGCAACTATTTAGCCAAGTTTGAACTTGACATCAAAGCCACCTCTGAGAACAGGAGGACACAGCACAGTGGGACTCTGGTGATTCCATTTCAACACACCTCTGCACATCTGGGTACATTCTGGGTGATGCACTGACCTCACCTCAAAGGTCCACAAACAGTCTCTCACAGCCTACGACTGTGCTGACAAGCAGCAGACGTGACTTGGTTTCAGGTCAGATAAACCAGATCAAATGACCGAAAGCCACTAAACTCTTACTCTATCAGCTGTTGAGCCTGACATGCATGAGAGTAAATGAAAACAAGTATAAATTTAGGATGAGAAAAAGTTACAAGACTGTCTCCTGCTCCCCCAGAAGGCAGATCCATACATACACATCCCCTGTCCCTAATTCATGTTCATGTGCTATGTCCACATGCAGAGGCTCCACAGAGCTGCTCTGCTGTCAAACAACAAAATGTGTCCACATAAAAAGAAAAAGCTTCACAATAAACTTTAGGGTGACACAGTGACACCAAGCCTTTTCTGTTTCTACCACCACAGACACCATCACACACTCATTTGAAAGTTTGAGTGGCTGCTGCAGTTCAGAGTTGCAGCAGCTATGATGGCATAACAAGATCTTATCCTATCGGATGATGACCAGGGACACTGACTGAAGGCTCTAGCATCTCCTCATGTCTCTGAAACCACCTGAGATCATGGTACACATTCATAATGTCAAGAGCTTACAAAAAGGTGCATTGAAGTTAATTTAGTGCCCCTCTCTGACTCTGAGCTTGGTGCCATTTATTGACTGACCTGCTCGTTTCCAAGGACAATACAAGGAAAGTTCACAAGAACATGATTAGCCTAGCTTAGCACAAAGACTGGAAGCAAGTGTAAATGGTTAACCTCCATCAGAAGAGAACCGCTTCATAGCGGTCCAAGCTATCCAGCTCCAGCCTGTCATTACCTTTGAGGCCCAGTTTGGTCCTGGTGTCCAGCAGCGCCTGCTGGATCTGCTGCGGCTGAGTGATGTCCACCTGGAGGAGGGTGAGGCGGGGGGAGCAGGTCCTCTGCAGCTCCCTGGCTCCATCTCCGGACAGGTCCAACACCGTGGCAAACACCTCAAAGCCCATGGCGTCCAGACGCTTTGCTGTGGCATTTCCAAAACCAGAGTCACAGCCTGGGGGAACATGAGAGCAACTGATTATCAGGTATGTAGCTGGTATAGTACAGTTCCTGAAAGACCTTTACTCTCTCTGCTGGTCATACCATGCTCCACAGAAAGACCTAGATCACCACAGAAGACAAGTTGAGAGTTAAACTGAACTACAGAGTGCTTGTGGAGGCTCTGGCATCCAGCTGGGCTCTGCTGCTTTCTGGGAAGGAATGTGCAGCAGATATGGGCCCAGAACATACTGATGCAAGAAAGGAAGACATTAATGCTTCAGTGTTTTTGCTGAGGGACAGATGTGTGATTACATCACAAATGAGACCCACAACATTGTCTCTATGAGCGTTTAACACAACGGAACATCAGCCACCAACACAACCTGCAGACTCGTATCAGCTCGTGCCCAACAGGACAACAAAAGCAAAGGAAAAGAAAGCAGCACAGTTAGTGGCCTGGCTGTGTTCAGAAATAACCATTCTAATGAGCGTCTGTGATGATTTTTCAAAACCTTTTATTTTCAGAAGTGTTTTATTGAGCTGTTATAAGCCATTATTAGAGTCCATGGAGATTACTGTGTGAGTGCACAATGTAATGGCAGCAGATTGCTGCGTTTCAATCAGGAGAAACTGAATATTTGACTGGACATCAAGGGAATGATCAAACCCGGTCGGAGCAGATAGGCTGGCAGAGGTGTCAGACTGATCAGTAGCTCAGTCTCCAGCACAGCAGATTGAAACTTTATCAGCTCTTATCAGTTCACCTGCAGCAGATGTTTGGCTGTGTTGATAACAGCTGCTGTCAGAGCAGGTTTGGATGGAGAGCTGTGTGATCTGGCATCAGACCAGTGCTGCTTCTGCTGTACTACACAATGAAGACAGTGATCAATATCAGGGTTGTGATTTACTGGCTAAAATTTTATTATTCAGTTCAGTTCTTGAATAAACTCAGCTTTAACTGCTCAATTACACTCAGTAACCAACTAAAACTGAAGTGAATCGATTTTTCTGTTGCCACACTACAGGGAGAAATAAGGTGCCACTCAAAACAGCAACATTTGACCGTGAACTCAGCTCATCTGGTTGACCGGGGGATGAACTCTGGCATGTGCTGACTGTCAAAGTAAACTAACAGAAACATTTCGACCAAAGAGTTTGTGCACATCAACTTCTAACTAACAATCGGTACAGCTGTGAGCATTTCATCCACATTGGGAGATATTAGCTAGCTATCTGCTGTCCCTCCTCTAAATCTGTGACAGACTCAAGAGACAGACTGTTGTCAGAGAGCAGAGCTGCAGTGAAACCTGTGAGTGCACTGAGTGTGTCCTGTTAAGAATTGAAGTCTTCATTTGCAAGAAAATGATTTAGGGACTTTATGTTTCCAGGCTTTCAACTCTGTACCTTAAATCTCCCACGAGTATCTTGTGACAGTGCAGCCATCTGACAGAAATAAAAGCTGTTGGAGCAGTAATCAAGTTTCACCTGAAAGTTCTCCTTGAATCCATTTTAAAAACCTGACATATCACCATGTCCTCTGTCATGTGCTAATATTGTACATGTTTTAGACAAAATTCCCCAGAATGCAGCCCGACAGATCTGTGCTCCAGCTCTGACAGTTTAAATGAAGCTGTAGGAGGTTGTAAAGCTGGAGCCCGTGCAGGAGCCAGCAAAGGTTAGAGGTGAAAAATTCCCCTGTGCATGCCAAACAAAATGTGGCTCTGAATTAGAGTTGTTTTTGGCGGCCTGTTTTCATTTTAGTTTTAGTGTAGTCTTTGTGTGAAGCTGTCATTTTACTTTTTATTAGTTTTAGTCACAATCATATTCTTTTCAATCTAGTCTAGTTTTAGTCAACGAAAACTGTTGACATTTAGTCTAGTTTTAGTCAATGAAAATTGTATTAGTCTCTTTTTAATAATGCAATTCTATTTCACCCAGTCAATATAGTACAAGCACCTATAGTATAGAGGAAACCAAAAGTTTCTTTTAGCCAAACCCATTTCAAACAAGGTTATCTTATTATATTATTGTTACCTTATAGACTCAAGAATACATCCAATGCACCTTTTGTGTGATTTTGTGGCCACATTTCTCCCCATCTTTTCCCACAACACATTGTTTACTTTTCCACTTTTATGTAATTAAAGTTTTTCCACATGTAGTTTCTTCTTTCCCTCCCAATGACGAACCCCGGCTGGCCGGCCATCGGTCCCTTTCTCTGTGTCAGACTTAACTTTGTTTGTTGTCTTCTAAATAATGCCCCGAGTGTGGCTTAAGGAAATGACGTTGCCTGCGTCTGCGCAGTGCGACCTGATGCGGCCCCTGAAGCGAGACACAAGAAACATAAATACTGCAAAATAATAATAATAACGCGACTGAACGAGACGAAATAACATAACATTTCATTTCGTTTTGGTCAACAAAAATAAAAAGACATTTGGCATAGTTTTTATTTTGTGAACCATATTTAGTCTCGTTTTTTTCGTCAACAATATTGCATTATACATTTAATTATAGTCATCGTCACACGACCAGCACTTTCGTTGCGTCTCAGTAGCAACACTCCCTCAGGGCATTCCATGTTCCGCGCCAACTGCGGTCACCCTGACACACCCGCCTGTTACCCCTCGTATACTCTCCCGTACTGGTTCCTCCCCAAACCCCACATTGGACAGAACAGCGCGGGTATTTCACCGAAACAACGGTAACCAATACATGCACAGCTTTCAACAACAGTGTCAAACCCATTTGCACACAACAAAACACATGAACATCGGCAGCCGGTCAGGGTCGCCACAATATTTAGTCATAATTTTCGTTGACGAAAGCAACAATACTCTGAATCAGACGTTGCATGGTGTTCATCTGGATGTCAAAGCTCTTAATAGCTGTTGTGTGTCCTCTGAACAAAACCAACTGGGTGAGTCCCATTTTCTTATGTTAGGGTATGTAGATCTTTGGTTCTTGTTACCAATGCTAACTCTGAGAGACGAGACAGTCCAAGTAACTACAAAACAGTGCTGATTTATTCAAAGGATCACAGGTAAAAGTAACATTACACGCTCAGGTATCTTGCACCTCCAACCTGCTCGCAGGCAGATGTAAGATGAAAGACCTTGAACCCCCCAGGCCTATACATTATATCCCTTCGGTTGGGCTAGCCCCATACTACACAGAAACGTCAACCGAGACGTTTCTGTTGCCAGCTTTGCAGCTGGTCATAGCAGTAGTCAAAACATGAAGTAAATCAATGTGGGTGTGTGTGTGTGTGTCTGATGATTAAGTGGTGTGTAGCTAAAAACATTCTCACACGACCTCTAGTAACATGTCGTGATATTAAACATAAGAACATATTATGGCTAAGGCTACAGTTATACACGTCATAATAATAATATTAAACACCCTGTCTGCTGACAGTCATCAACTCTTCTCTCTAGTTATCCTTGACCAGATGTACCCTGTAGAAACTCATAAGCATGACTAAGCATTTAACAGTCTAACTAGACATCCTATCTCCACTAAACATTTCTAATACATAAAGTATCTATCCAATTTTTATCTGACTAAAAATACCTAACAGGTGCTTCTAATGATTTAATTTAATCATTTAATTTAAGACTCTGAAGTCAAGTTTCCATCCAAATGTACACATTTAATTAAGTAAAACCTGTCTGAAGTCCAGTCTCCACCCGCTCTGGCTGTGTAAGCATGAACTGACTGGCTGAGGAAGAGAAACAGCTGGAGGAGCTGCTTTTCCAGTCACTGCCACTAAACCAGTGCAGAAGAAGACGAAGGGGCTCAAAGAGCTGCAGTCGAAGCTCAGACGATGAAAAACATGATGGAAACCTGATATTCTGCTAGTGTCATGTGTTACTGTGAGGATGGTCACAGGCTCCTCATGGCTCCATGCACACCTGAGGTTTGAGTCACATGACTCATGTGAACATCAGCATTTGTCCAGTGAGTCTGGTTCACTTTGGGTTTCATCCACACAGCTACGTTTACACCTCAGACAAGGGGAAACTCTGCAATTTGTCAGTAGTTTCTTTCCACACAGTTGTTTCATGCAGCACATTTAATATTTTCATTAAAACAGGTGGGTGGAAATGTAGAGGTTTTTAATTCCTAGTGTTTTCACTAGGTTTGTTTACACATATTGAAAATGAAAATGGATGCAAACACTTTGCATCTCCAAAGTCTGAAACAAAAGAAAGGATTTATTCAGATCTCTCCAGGATTATAAAGAAGATACTGGTGCGACAGTGGTGCGGTGGGTAGAGCAGTTGTCCCCCAACTGGAAGGTTAATGGTTCAAATCTCAGTGCCTGCAATCCACATGTTGAAGTGTCCTTGGGCAAGACACTGAACATCCCGTTGCCCCCGATGGTTAGAGGCATCGGTTGAGTTGGTGCCGCAGATGGCTGCCTCAGTTCTGTACCAGAAACAAATTCCTTGTGTGTAACATACTTGGCCAATAAAGGTGATTATCCAAATCCTTCATTTATGAATGCTCATTGATTTCCAGATAAGTGACTTCATTTTCTGTGCAATCATCTTTTCCCAGAAGTACACAGAGTCCCTCAGAAACAGCCACTGTGCGGAACTGTCACGTACCCCTCAGCACCCACAGCTTCCCAGAAGTCCCAGCACGTACAACCTGATCCTCTACGGTACTCGCCGTTCTGCTTGTTCTTTTGTGCGGTAGTCGGGTGTCTGAGAGAGCGCTGCTGGCGAGAGCGTCGAGGTGTTGGCACACTGCCTCCCTCCGTATCCCTGGAGGGTTTCCAGTCAAGTCCTGGGAAGAAAGGAACACTGGCTCCAGAAATAAATACCACAGCTCAGCTCCACCTTACAGAAACAGTCTCCAACTGGCTCACACCCAGAATGCCAACTTCAAATATTTCTTTGTTTATTCCCTCAAACCATTCTGAAGCCATTTCAGAGCCATGTGTTCTACATGTTATATGTCGTTGCTCAGAAATTACCTCATTTGGCATGTGAGTGATTTTTCATT